AAATAGTCCAGAAATCATACTGGGAAAAAAAGGGAAGAGGTGAAATTATTGTTAACATATCTTATTTAACCCATGAAATCAAATATTATCATTTCACATAAAATCAACATAAAATAATTGAGATAATTTATATTGTTTTATACAATGTCTTTGAAATGTGGTATTTTATGTCTATAACACATCTTCATTTGGACTAGTCATATATCAAATGCTTACTAGCCATATGTGGCTAGTGGCTACCATTTTAAATAGCTTGATTTTTGTCAAGGCAGGTCTAAAGTAGCCTTTGCTCTGTGAAAGTGTAGTATTGCTACTAAAGTCTGGCTTAATAGCTGGTTCAGTGATGACTGTTCACTTCCTGTTAGAACTTTGATCTGCTCATTCTGTGTGATGATGGGTTCTAGTCCTCTACCACTGTTGAGTCCTTGGCAGTTATACTTTGTTCTTACAGTCTCACCTCCACATGGCCACTTAGTATTTAGTCAACCATGCAAGAAAACTGTACATATTTCTGGAACTCTTTCTCTGTGAAGTTTGCTCATTTCTAGTAGCCTGCATCCTTTTCCTCCTAAAGCGAATCTGTCTCCTCACCTCAGCAAGAAAACAACACTCTGCTTGGAGTCTCCTCTCTGCACCATGGTCTGAGAGGTATCTTGAGGCAGCATATCTGGGTGATCCTACGCAGTAAGTACCTCACTACTTTCTCTTTTCTGTGGGATTACAAGTATGCTGCTGGTGAGGTTGGAGGCAGGGGTCAGATTGGTACTAATTATTCTGGATAGTCAGAAGTCCTGTTTCAAGTTTTAGGATTTATTTACTCTACTATTTAGTTATGTTGTAATTACATTGACTCCTTACTGTTTTTTAAATTTTATTTAGAATAACTTATTTTTATTCTTTTTAGTTTGTTAGAATAAATATTTAGGGCTATGAATTTTTCTTTGAGGATTCTTAGTTTTTCCTCCCAGATTCTGATATGCAGTATTTTTGTGGTTACTAATCTATAGATAGTTGGCTCTTTAGATTTTGGCTTACACTTTAACCAAGAATTGCTCCAGAAATTAAATTTCTGAGATGGTAGAGACTTATGTTTCAGTTTTCTGACTCGGTTATTACCTTTTAGTTACACTTCATTATAAGTAAAGTTGTATATACTGTTTATAATTTTTGAAAATGTGCTGAAGTTTTCTTTGTAGCTTAATGTGTAATCACTGATTTCACTATTATAAGCAAGGTATTACTTTTCAGGATCTAAATTGTTGATTACTTTAAATGAATAAATGGTAACAATTGGAGCATAAGAAATATATATGTTAAAATGTACAAAAATACTATATATATACACACACACATGTAGGATATATGTGTGAGAGTTTGTGTGTATTATTTTTATTTTATTTACTTATTTATTTTTAAAGATTTATTCATTTGTACATACAGAACTGGGGTACAGGCCAGAGGCTCAGGGGCGGCGAGAGGCTTCCCCAGAGACAGAGTGGGGAGCAGAACAGGCAGATTGATGAAGTCCACTGCTGAGGGGAGCAGTGGGCGGGTCAGGAGAGGTCTGCCACACCATGTGGTCACCTCCGGGGCAGGTGGGAATCCAACTCATGCGGAAGTAGCTTCAGCCTCTCAGTGCTGTGCTTTAACCTGCTGCACCAGCAGGGAGGGCTATTTTATTTTAAAAAGATTTATTTATCCATGCACACAATAGCTGGGGTGCAGGCCAGAGATATGGGGGTGGTGGTGAAAGAATTCACTAAAGACAAAGTGGGGAGCAGAAGAGACAGATCTACTGAAATACACAGCTGAGTGGAGCAGCAGGTGATACAGGAAAGGTCTGCTGAGCCATATAGGTCAGCTCCTTGTCTGGGAATCAAACTCATGCTGCAGTGGCTACAGATAGCTTCATAGTGCTGAAACGTAACCCCTTGCAACACCAGAGAAACCACATATGTGTATTATTTTGGGTTCATTGTACAATTTTATTCTATAAATAAACTATAGAATTCTACCCTATAAAATCTGTAAATGAGATTTAGTCCTAGAAAAATGTGAAAGTTACTAGCTAAGATGACCTCAAAGGTCACCTAGCATGTATAAGCTTCCATATAAATCTGTGTAGGCCCTAGAATGACCCCTGAGTAGAATTGATACTGAACCTAAAGTATTCTTTCCTTTCACTTTTTCACTCCTTTTCTTTTTCTCTCTATACAATATTTGCCAATAAAAGAAATCTAGGTTACATAGACTCAGGCCAGGTGTGAAACCAGTCTGTTATCAAAAAGTAGGAGAACATTAAACAAATTTTAATTAGTCTTAAGAAAAGCAAAGGTGAAATAAAAATTTAATTCTTCTGAACCTTTGTTTAAAATGTATTTTTCCATCTCTACTGTAAGGAGCAAATTTTAATTAGCTTGATTCTCACTGTTGGTCATGTATTTGTAATCTTTGTTCACACTTTGAGACAGAAAAATTTGATGAAAGAAATCAGGCAATAATGGAAATCTTGTCTGAGCAGAACAAATTGGAATTAGCAAATATATTGCAGGATAACTAGTATACTGCAACCAAGAAGAAAAGAAGCATAGGGCAGGTGGCTCAAAAAACAACAACAAAAACCCTCTCTCCAAAATATCACAGGTCAGCCTGGCATAGTCTTGTGCTGCAAGGAGAGAGAATCCCAGAGTAATAAGTGCTTTGGTACCAGACGGACTTGCTTGAGGTTGACCCTTGCCTGTAACCCTTTTTGGGAGCCCTCTTAACTCGTCTGATCCTCAGTTTCCTCCTCTGTAAAATAGGGTAATGATAACAGCTGTGTAGTCTTGTGAGGAATGACAAATGTATTATGTGAAAGTGCCTGGCATGTAATGTGAGTTCAGAAAACAAATAAGGAGAATATCAAAGGAGGATCTGTGGCTGAACTGTGGAATTCTGGCTTATTTCCTCTTGAGAGGGAAACAGGGTTAAGTAGGAGCCAGACTAGTGGAGCTGGGAGGTGGGTCTTTCCTGACCTCTTTCTCAGAATTCTGGGACTGTAACATGTAAGGCTCTTTTGCATAGGAGTCCATTCAGAAGGCTACTTTGTAGTTATGAAAGCGTGGAAACCCCAAGGCTACCCTGTGGGGAAGCTAAAAGACTCTTTAAGTCTGGTAAGCACAGTACACCAATAAGGAAATTAATTAGGAGTTCCCCTGGCAGCAAATAGGTCACAATACCACAAGAGGGGTGTGTTTGGTGTGTGTGTGTGTGGTGTGTATGTGGTGTATGAAGATGGAGGGAATTGACAAAACATACTATTTAGGGTGCTATGGAAAAGTGTCAGAAAGGGCCAAGACAGTTTTTGGCTTTGGATTAAAATTTGACAGAGAAAATAACTATAGCCACTTTCAGGGTTAATTAAAAAGATCTTGGGTCATGCAGAATTTTTGTTTCCTGACAGTGTCAAAATCAGATATTCTCTGAGATTTCAAGACCATATATCCAGGGTTCAGTTTAGAATATGAAGTCCACATTTCCCTAGTACATCATTCAGACCTTGTTTTCTGAGCACCTATTGGACTCCCCAAATCTCCTCCTGTTAGGAGTGTTGACTCAGGAGTGTAGACTCAGAAAGGTTTTGGTTGTGCCAGTGCAGGTGGTGGTACCCTAGGTGTTAAACATCCTACAATGCATAGAACTCTCTCTTCCTTTCCCCCAACCTGCCCCTCTGATTTTGGAATTAGGTGAAAAATGGGCTCCCTGAGTGCTTTTCCCTCTCTGAAAGGAGGGGTAAATGTCTTTAAGGGATGGCCTGGTACCTTTTTGTCCTGCAGTCTTTGATGTCCTGGTTCCTTCTCTGTCAGGGACATTCTTCCCACCCAAGGCTGCCTGGCTGATTGTAGCATCGACATCCATATATATATGTCCCCAGTTAAAGATTTATCCATGAATCCTGGAGAGGGGTGTGAGATGTGGTGTGAAACCAACAGCAGGGACGTTGCATTTGCAGGAAGGGGTGACAAGGCAACACAGAAAAATGGGATTTGGGGAAAGCTTTTATCAGGACCCCTGCTAGCCATCGACTTCTTGATGCAAGGGCTTACACAGCCCTAACAGTCACTGCATTCACTGTGAACACCCCAGGGCTGTAAACACCCCAGAGCCCCTCAGCAGGGCCCCATGGGGCAAACACTCCTTGGCAGCTTCTGGGCAGTTTAGCCAGCTGGCCACCTGACAGTGGCAGGTGCCCAGGTCCAGCTGTCCCAAAACTGGCAGTGTCTAATCTTTGAAAGAACACCAGGGTGACTGGAAGTGTGGGGGCAGTCAGAGTAGGGAAGTTTATATTTCCCAATCTCAGACCAGGATTCCAAGTCTCAGGAGCACACTTTAGTTTCCTCTGTGCTGCGCCCTGGGGGAATGTGAGTTTGGCTGAGACCTCTGGCTCTGTGTGGGCTGGCTGAAAGGGAAGGTGGAGCTACTGATCTGACTCTGGCCAAGATCTTATTTCCTGGGCAGTGTCTATGAGCTGAATCAAACTGTGCCGTTGGGCTGCATGTGCTCAGTGTGGCTGAGCACTGCCTGGTTAATGATTAATTCCTGATGACCCTGCCTCCAGTAGTTCCAGAGCGAGTCTCTTGGAGGGTGAGCCTGGTCACCGGAGGCTTGTGGAAGGCTAACACAATTCTCATCCGGCACCAAGAGACTGGTCAGTGTGCTTGTGCCAAGGGTCTCACAGCAGAAGATTGGAACCTCTTTCCTTCCTCAGCTCTCTTCCTGAATCACTCAGACACTCACACACCTAAACTCCACCCCCCAGGCACCTCAGCTAGGTTGGGCTACTCCAGGAAGTTTCCATGAAAGCACCTGAAATATGAATTTACCTTTTCCAGGTGAGCTCCAGAGAGAGAAGAGCCTGCGCCTACTCCAGTGAGTTGCAACCACAAACTTTGGATTTTGCGGGAAGGAGGTAAGGGAAGTTGAGAAGGCCTTTTGGACCTGTTGGCGTGGCTTCCTTCCTCATGGCTTCACACGGCAGCTCTGACAACGACTGCTCCCATATCATTGATCACAGCCATGTCTCCCAGTTCGAAGTGTCCCTGTGGATCAAAATCACCCTCATCCTTGTGTACCTGCTCATCTTTGTGGTGGGTATCCTGGGGAATAGTGTCACTATTCGGGTCACCCAGGTGCTGCAGAAGAAAGGCTACTTGCAGAAGGAGGTGACAGACCACATGATAAGCCTCGCTTGCTCCGATATCTTGGTCTTCCTCATTGGCATGCCCATGGAGTTCTACAGCATCATCTGGAACCCCCTGACGACCCCGAGCTACCCCCTGTCCTGTAAGCTTCACAATTTCCTCTTTGAAGCCTGCAGCTATGCCACATTGCTGCATGTGCTGACACTCAGCTTCGAGCGCTATGTGGCCATCTGCCACCCCTTTAAGTACAAGGCCTTCTCGGGGCCCTGCAAGGTGAAACTGCTGATAGCCTTCGTCTGGGTCACCTCTGTCCTAGTGGCATTGCCTTTGCTTTTTGCCATGGGCATTGAGTACCCGCTCTTGAGAGTGCCTAGTCTCCAGGGGCACGCCTGCAATCACTCTCGCACCCGCCACCACGAGCAACCCGAAAAATCCAACATGTCCATCTGCACCAACCTCTCCAACCGCTGGGCCGTGTTTCAGTCCAGCATCTTCAGCGCCTTTGTCATCTATCTCGTGGTCCTGGCCTGCGTGGCCTTCATGTGTTGGAACATGATGCAGGTGCTCAAGAGGAGCAAGCAGGGAACAGTGACCGGGATGGGACTGCAGCAGCAGCTGAGGAAGTCGGAGAGTCCAGAGAATAGGACCTCCCGGAGGCAGATCATCCTCTTTCTGAGTGAGTACTGGGTGGAGGGCTGCCTGCCAGCAGCTCCAGCCTCACCTTGTGCCTGACTGGGGTTCTCTTAGCTAGAGTTCTGCCTCAAAAGTGTAAACTTAGGTTTGTTGAGGCTGAAGAGGCTTTGATTGATTAGAGCCTCTGGATGTTTCTTCTGTGCTTGGGGAATTTGCGTCACAATGAAAAGAGCACTGGAGGAGGAATCAGAAGGCTGGGGTATATTCCAGAGCAGGCACCTCTGTGAGATCTTGTTCAGACAATTTGATTTTGTTGGCATTTTTCTGTTCCTCTGGAGAAGCGAGGCTGTCAGGAATGCAGGGTCCCTGGACTGCTCTTTTACACACACCTCACCTGACAGTTTTCTCCTGTCCAACCGTAAGAAGTTGGGGCTTTCAGACTTGCATCCCCACGGTAGTGCTTGACTTTCCTCTATGGTGTGTCTGTTTTCCTCTGAGCAGAGAAGTATGGCAGGGCCAATTGCCTGCTTTTCTCAGACTCCTGGGACCTGATTGATCATTCAAAAATATCTAATTATCAGAGAAAGGTGTTTGTTTCCAGACTGTTGTTGTGATGCAGGTATTTACAACAGGTCCCTCTGTATCAGAAAGGAAGTGAGGACTCCCAAACTTTCAGAAGAGGGAGCTGGTGGCTGCCTGTGGGGAGATGGGACTTTAAGGGAGACACATAAAATGTACGTGAGGAAAAGGTTTGAAAAATGTTTAGAAGCAACAAAAATATTTTGTTAAGAAGTGTGTGAGTTAACAATTTTGTGAGTATAACAAATGTTTGCCATTCTTCCCTCCCCCTTTCCTGTTTGGGTCAGAAAGGGAAATAAATCATGGTGCTATTTGTTCTGGTGTGGGAAACATGAGTAACAGGTTCCAGATCTCGGAGTTAGATAGGAGAGAAGATTGGCAGACACTCAAGAAGGAAGGGGAAACCAAGTCTCGTCTGGGCTTCGGGTGTCTTCCTACAGCTTACTTGAATTTATTGTGTGCAAAATAAAAGGAAGGGGTTTGCAATTTGGGAATGCCTCCTCTGCTTCAGGGGATTTGTGCGGTGATTTATATTTCCATTTTGAAAAACAGGGCTTTGAAGCTTCAAGAAGCCTTAGTTCAAAGGCATATAAGTACACTTACCAGATTGCAAGAGAAAAATAAGTAGTTGCTCATGATTTTCACAGATTTGTGAAGGCAAAATTAAATAAAACAGGACTTTGACAAGGAGGGTTTACCTAGATTGCTGCCACTTGAGGGCAGCCTTTCTGAAAGTTGAAGTAAGAGTGTAACAGTAGGATCTGGGACCTTGGGAAGGATATCCAACCCATCTCAATTTCTCCCACCCCTGCTGCTGTTGTCTCGAATGTCTGGAAGGAACAGACATTGCCTTTGTTGGAAACCAGTTTAAAGGCTAATTCTCCTTTCCCATATATCCTTGGGCATATCTTAAATTTAGCAATTTATATTTTATTGTGAATTTCTTTCTTTTTGTGGAGGGTGGGGTTGGTTTACAAGGCACTGATCTGAGTAGATAAGAATTAGGGGAGGGTAAACAAAGATAAGGAAGTACCTTCAATTACCTCCCACTTTGATTTAGGAATTAAGGCTGTATCTTGACTAAAGAAAACTAGTTGATTCCTCTTTTCTCTCTACTGACTCCTCCCCTTTCTTATTAAATGACCCTTCTCTTACAAATGGATATTTTTCAAGTCAAAGTCAGTCTTCTTGAACCATGTAATCTGAATGCCACACATTTGCATTTAAAGATGGATGGGACACTGGAGATGGTCCCATCCAACTAGTGATCACCTGGACTGAGTTTGTTCTTGTGGCTGTACTCATCATTTCCTTCCTGTTTTCTCCCTCTTGCTTACAGTAGTATTAATCACCACTGTGTTTCCTGCCTAAAGAGTGTTACGTGACAGTGAGGTGCTCAGTTTGTGGTGTGTTGGGAAAATTTGTGTGTTTAGCTCATTTCCTCTGCAGTGTGTTTTTAAAGCAGTTCTTGCAAATGTCCCTCTCTCCAAATGAATTTCCAAGACATTTAAAAACTCCTGCTTCACTAATTAACTTGTGTTAGGAAATAATTTAATGGAGTGAAGAAGAAGAAATTGTGACCAACATCCATCAGATTAATACAATGCTGTTTTCTTTGTAGGATTCATGAAACTCATGCTTTGGGGCATTTTTAACTCAGGACAAGTGAATTTACAAATTGTTTATAAAATGTTGAATTTAATATAGTGACTTAGCTATCTTTTTAGTATTTCAGTTAACAGATTTAACAAATTAAAACAAATATTTGGTCATTTCAAACATATTTTGCATTTAACGTGCAATGTAAATGATGACATAACACAAAATGTGTTACAGCTCTTGGAACAATAAAAAAAGAAAGCATTTTCCTCCTTGTTAAAAATGCTAACTTTGCATAACAGAAGCATAATTTATATATCTACCCAAGATTAAGGAGCTTATGTAGAAAATATTAATTTTCCATTCTTCAGCTTTTGTTATTATGCCTTAACCTAGCTGGTCTGGGTAGGTGAATAATGAAAGCAAATTGGGAACTTTGGGAGAGACAGAGATACTGTTACTATTTTCAAGCAACTTGTAGGAGAAAACAATAATGTAAAAGTGCTCATTCCTGGATACATGAATGTTTTCTTTTGTTTTTTATTAACTCAGTGAAAAATCAGTGCATGACTTAATTCCTTCTGCAAGTTTGTGACTAATTTGATGTGGTAATACTGGCTGTTGGTTTGGATTCCAGCCTCTTGTAGAGAAAAGATTCCAGTGCATTTGTCTGACTCTATTCCTTATAAGTTGAGAAACTATAAAATGAGCCTTTGTTTCAAGAGGTCTTCTTTAGTTGTTCCATATTATCTTTCTGAATTCTCAACTTGGAGTTATTCTCATTGCACGTGATGTCCAAGTCGTGAAGATCTATGCTTATGACTATTATACACATGACCTTCTGTCAAATGTCATCTCAAAGTGGAACAGCAAAAGTAATTTAAAAGAAGTATAATTTTAATTTGTAACTTTGAAGAGCATAAAGACTATGACTACGTTCCAGCTACCTCTTACAAATCTGTAAAGCAGTAATTGGCTTTTAACAATAATGAAAAAAAAATTACAGATAATTATGAAATAAAAAAATTAAAGAGACTGTATAGAATATTCAGGACTGCTTAATAATTACTCTTGATTTCAAATCTTTGTTGAGTTAGATGGACTACTAACTCATGGACTACTTCAGAAAAGAAGGTTGATGTATATTTAGATAGTTGTGTGTTGTCAGGAAAAAGCAGGGAGGAGATCAGAATCACATCTTTTGGGTTTTAGAATCTAGATTTAGAGGTCTAGATCATGTCATGTCATGAGGAGAAAAGAGAGAAAGTTGAGATGTTGACAATGGGTTTTCTTGATTCTGGAGAAAATTAGTACCTGGAAGGAGCTCTTAAAATTAATTCCTTACAATGGAGACAAAAGTTCATGTAACATGAGATTTGATTATGACTTCATTGTGAAAATTACAAAGAGACCTGTGATATATTTTACCAAACTTTAGATTATTATTGTAGCTGTATGTTAATTCTTATAATAACTTTTCAGAGTGAAAGAAGTGTGGCTTTTTTTGAGGGCATAATTTTTCTGATAAAATTATATGATAGTCTTTGTGTTTGATTTTCTCAGTAAGATTGTTAAGAGGGTTTTAACCAGCTCCTCTTAATTCTTTGCTATTTACATCACCCTTTTGAAGCACCTATCCTGGCTTCATCCTTGTCAATTTTCTTTCTTTAAGGATTAACTAGTATAATTAGTACAAACCTTCATTTTTCAGTGTTTTGGCATTCGATTCATTTTCTCTAGCTTCCATTTAGAGACATCTTGAAATTCTGTGGACCATAGCCCCCAAATAATAATTTTTTAAACGATTTATTTACTAGGCATACAGAGCTGGGGTACAGGCCAGAAGTGCAGGGACAGTGAGAGAATTCATCAGAGACAGAGTGGGGAGCAGAACAGGCTGACTAACAAAGTACACTGTTGAGGGGAGCAGTGGACGAGTCAGGAGAGGTCTGTGGTGTCATGTGGATCACCTCTGGGGTGGGGATTGAACTCCTGCTGAAGTGTCTGTAGCTTCTTAGTGCTGTGCTTTACCCACTGTGCCATCAGGGATGGCCCCCAAATAATAATTTTTTTTTTAAAGATTTTGTTTATTCATACAGAACTGGGGTACAGGCCAGAGATGCAAAGGGTGAGAGGATTTACCAGGGACAGAGTGGGGAGCAGAACAGGCAGATCGACGAAGTACACTGCTGAGGGGAGCAGCAGGCAGGTCAGGAGAGGTCTGCCGCGCCATGTGGTCTCCTCCGGGGCAGGGGGGAATCGAACTCATGCGGAAGTGGCTTAAGCTTCTTCGTGCAGGGCTTTAACCCACTGCGCCACCAGGGAGGACCCCCAAATAATAATTTTAAAACCACCCCCTACACCCTAGTGTGTATCAACTGATTACATGAAAATGAGTGCCTAAATGTTTTTGAGGCATGAAAATAATTATTTTAAATAGTAGTTTTTTTTCACTAGTTTAAATACTGATCTTACAATTATGTTTATGCCATTAATTTCTTAGTAAAGGGCTATTCTGTGATGTAGGGGGACATGACAACCTAGTCTTTCAGGGACGTGCCATCAGAATCAGTGAATTTTTCATGTAAGATTCTATTTTGACTCAACTATTTGGGTAACTTAGGGAAAATTTTGACTCAAGTATTCTGAGTATTGCCCCTATTTTCTTTTCCCCTTTATTGGTATAGCTATAGCTGTAATAAATGACATTTCATGTTTTTTTTCTATATGATATTAGTCATAAATTACAACTATGCTGTGGTTAGCCTAGCAGACAACTATATTTTTATACTCTGTCTCAAAGATTGCATTAATCTCTTAGGGAGATAACATAGTTTTTGTGGAAGGAAATCTTGGAGTCCCAAT